CTACAATTTCTTGAAAAATTAAAGACTTTTATGATATTAACCCAAAACTATATTGCTATTTCACAACAATGTCTCTTAAGATAAAACTAAATTGTATAGTAATTTTATTTAAAAAAGAGTATTCGTCAAATACAAACATGAAAAACGTTTATTTCACTTATATTCCTTCCATTTTTTTCGATGTAGACCAACTCAATCCATGTAACATGACAATGAACAAGTTATTTCATCCTATTTGACATAGTCATTAAATTCAATAAAAATAGTAAAAATAATAAAAAGATAAAGGTGAAGAAGGGTTTACTGTATCTTTACTGCTTATTGTCCCGATATAACACCCCACAATCCATGTGATCTCATATGGGACAATACTATTAAATTTACCAACAAAGTCCTCAACCATCATTATATGTCCTTGCTTTTTGTAATCATCTATTTTAGTTGATCAATCTTATTTCACTATACTACTTTCCCCAATTGCAACGCCTTCTACTCTTTGCGTATTTGTTTTGCCAAAGTACTCCATTTTTTTTTCATAAAAACATTTTTCATCAAGACGCTTCCTATCGATTCTTCCTAGAGAGCTCCAACTTAGAAACATTCTATTCTTTTCTAAAGAATTTTGAAATTTCCATGTGCGAAAGGGATTACAAAACCCTAGCAAATATCTCAAAATCCGCTCTTGTTGAAATTTCCAGAAACGGAAAACTACAACCACAAATCAAACATCATTAGATTTTCTGTGACAAATTTGGCTAGAAAATCATGCGATCGATCGGTACGATCACTTAAAGGTACAATTCCAAACTATATTATGTTATATATACCATAATCAATTTTAAGATCGGTAGGATCTACATTGTTTTGTCCGATGCCCCAAACCATCTCACATTCCATCAATAGTCAAATCGGGCGACAAATCCAGATATGTAATCCAGACATGCCCTATCATAATAATTTTTTAGAAGTTGAATTAAAATTATAACTTTTTTTGTACAAAAAGCTATTATAGTTTTTTTTTCAAGATAAGTATATCGATGCCTAAATTTTGGTTAAAAGTTTTCATTGATTGAAAGATGCTTAATAAATCTCTCTCTCTCTCTCTCTATATATATATATATATATATATATATATATATATGTATATAAATATATATATATATATATATATATATATAATCTGTTATATATTTATTATCTACTATCTATCTATTATCTATTATCTATTATCTATTATCTAGTATCATACATACTTATAAAACTAACATTTTTCCTTGAACCTCATGCATTTGAAACCTCCATAAAAATTTGCGAACACCTCATGCATTTGAAACCTCCTATTTTAATGAATACACTCAAAAGTCTCTTAATAATGATTAACAATTCAAAGATTTTATAACTTATATAATATATTTAATAAACAATTAATGGATACTCTACTATAAAAAGGTCAATCTTTTTGAGTAGACACACAAATACAAATCACATACAAAATTCACAAAGAAAACAAGTTTAATGTTTTTTGTATTGGTTTGAAGGCTTTGAACAATTATTCGAGTCATGTTATTATGTTGAAGTTTTTAATTTGTAAGTTTGTTATATACTAATTCTTTTTTGTATTTTCTTGATTTAAGTATTCTTTTAAGAATATCATTGTATGTTGTGGTTGAAATTTTAATGTAAATTAGATTAGATTCATGTTATCGATCATATGTTATGGAAAGTGATATATATATATATATATATATATATATATATATATAATATTTAATTAACTATTGTATACATGTTTGTATGTTCATGTTGCTTCAAAACAATAATTAATTAAAAATCATGGATATGTCATATTATCCATGTAAGCCTTTTTTAAAATGCAAATTGTCTATCTTATCACTTTATATTTTAGTATATGTTTAACATTTTAATTATAATAATAAGTGGTTTTTAAAAGTTTCTTTTACTTATTAATAATAACAAGGGTTTTAAAATTAATAAGCAACAATTATAAATAATAAAATCAAATTACATGGATATGTCATATTATCCATGCAAGTCTCTTTTGAAATGCAAATTGTCTATCTTATCACTTTATTATTTAGTGTATGTTTCACATTTTAATAATTATATTAAGTCTTTCTTAAAAGTCTTCTTTAACTTATTATTAATAATAAGTGGTTTAAAATTAATGAATAACAATTTTAAATGATAATAACATCAAATTATAAATTACATTTAGCTATAAATAAATTGTATTTTAAATGAACATCATTATTGAAATTAGAAAATGATCGCATAAGTAAAAATATAATTAATCAATAATAATAATTGTTAAAAATAATACTAAATAGATAATTATATTTAATTCTATTAATGAGGAATGTGGGTTGATGTCAATGAATATTATTGTTCAAAATAATTGAGAATATATATATATATATATATATATATATAAATTAGTGTAATTATCTCAAAGTTAATGTCAATAACATAACCATTTTAAATATATAATTTTCAATATTTTAACAATATATTTTTAATCTTCGCTGCACAACGCGCGAGAATTCGTCTAGTATAGTATAAAAGATGTCATTTTCCTATCACCACATTCATTTGAAACCCCTAATTTTTCAACTTCTTTTCTAATTAATACATTAAATTCATTATTATTCTAATTTTAATATTAATTATTTATTTTCAAACCTTATTTTTCTAAATAGTCAAAAAGTTTCTATTAAAATGTTAAAATCATAAATTATGTCTACATAAATTGATTAACCATTAATAATTAAAAATACATATAAATCTAAAAATAAGTTTATTTTTATTTTTATGCACAACCCATGGGGTGACAACTATTAAGATGATGTAATTTTAATATTTATATATGTTATATTTTATTTAAAATGATTAGAATGTTTAATAACAAGTTAGCGTCGGAATTATTAATTCAAAGTTAGTAACAATGATATATTTTTTAATAAAAATATATTCGTCAATATTTTACTTTTATATACGCAACGTGTGGACATTCATCTAATATATATATATATATATATAATATATATATATATATATATATATATATATATATATATATATATATATATAACAATAACTAGTGATATCAAACCGTAAGAAACAAAGTAAAGAAAAAAAAATTATATGATTGACTCATCTCTACTCCCACATATCAAACCACACTGTTTGAATCAATAACTTGTACATTCTCATCAACAAATTTCCACGTGATGTTTCATGACATATAACTGTGATTTCCTTTACTACAATGAAATTTCATCTATTAAAACCGAGATTTTTGATTTTTGACTAATAAACACCTATAAACTTTTCTTAAATGTATTATAACTAATAAACATGATTACAACATGAACTAAATAGATTAGTTATTAAGTTGTTAGGTGAATATTGTTCTTGAGACATTAGAGAGTTAAAAAAGGATTTCTTGAAATTGAAAATGTAAAAACGAGAGTTATTTCTAGAATTTTAGGTTTATATACTACTAGTTAATGGACAAAAAATGAGTTTGCAACCCATGTACATGAGATCGCAACTGGGAGACATGAAATCACAAGTATGCTTAATCACCTGCGATTTGTATGACTATTCTCGAAAAAATGCTAATTTTTAGCAAAATTATTAACGCATATTGACTATTTTTCTAAATATCTCCTAAAATAATCATAAATCAAAACCGTAATGTTAAGTTTTCAGACATAGATTAACTTGAAATAAAACTTTCAAGTTCTATAAATACATAATATATCAATTAGTTTTATATTTAAGACCAAAAAATGATAACAAGCCTATCTAACAGTGGGCATCGACTTTTGAATATTCGTACTTACTTTAAAAATTACTAATCTAACCAAAATTAAGGAACTAATTAATCATTTTTAGCCAAAAATTAGGAATTGTCTCAAAATGGCCCACGAAACCGTAGGTATTTAGATTCGGCTACTGTTTCACTAAATCGTCTACTGTTTCGTGTTTAGTATAATTTTTTTTTCATTTTGAAGATATAAAACCGTAGGTTTTTTTTTAAAACCTACGGTTTCTCTCTATAAAATACGGTTTTGGGTTAAATCTACGTTTTTTTTCTTAGGAAAACTACGGTTTTGGGTTAAAAAAAACGAAAAACAAAAAAAAGACCGTAGGCTTCTACGAAACCTACGGTGTACAAGTCCACACTGCACAATCTGTGCATTGTGCAGTTGTACACTGTAGGTTTCGTATGAAACCTACGGTTTTAATATTTTTTTCGGTTTTTTTTTTAAAAAATTATCCCCATGTATAAAAACTACTCCTAATCAACAATACAGTAAAATTTTGATAAAAAATGAACTTATCTAGTTGTTTTCGGGTGCTCCATTGAGAGAAAACAGTAGACAATGGAAGGAAAAATGAGAAAAAATAACCTAAACTGAAAAAATAAGACATTATATACTATGGGCCAATTGACCACAAAACAGTAGACGGGCCACGAAAGAGTATCCCATTGCAACGAAAGAGTAGTTTTTTAACGTTGACCGTAGTCAACACTAACCAAACTACTATTTCGTGGGCTAGTTTTGGCTAATGTGTTTTTTTGGCTAATTTTGGATAGGTAATTTGTGTTTTTGCTAGATTAGTATTTTCCCCTTCAATTTTTCGACTCCAATCAATAAATTAAGCATATATTGTTCACACATATTTAATATTTTACATATTTTTAAGATTGATGAATTGGGTATTTAAAAATATATGGTCATACACTTTGAAGTTAAGTTTGTGGTTTGAAACTGTTAATTATATAAATAGTTAATTTTTGTTGAATTCTTTTTTATTCTATTATATTACAAATTACTAAATGATTATGTATATATTGCTAACTGCATATGGATTTCCATTCACATGATTTGTTGATTTGCAAATAATCTGATTACTAGTTTTGTACTTTCTCTAACTTTTGATCCAAAGTAGTTTAGATTGCTCTCTATAATATGGCCGAATCAACAAAGTCAGAACTAGTTCTTCAACATTCGATTGTTAATGCGGGGAGTCCAACCTCCCCTTCAACACCAAATTGTATCTCTTCGCTTTATGTTGGGGATTTGGAGGAGAACGTTGATGAAGGTCAATTGTTTGATCTCTTCAATGAGGTGACGCGAGTTCATTCCGTAAGGATTTGTCGAAATGAAGAGAACGGGGTTTCATTTGGTTATGGCTATGTGAATTTCACTAGCTCAGAAGATGGTATGCATTCTTAAGTGATTACTATGTTTGTTTATCTGTATTATTTTAAAAAGACATGAGTTGCTTAAGGAGTGTTTGGGTATATATTTTCAAAAAGGTTGTTGTGACAAGAAGATTCAAAATAGATATGGTTAATATCATAAAATGACATCAAATAAAGTGATAATAACCATCACTTTGTTCTTTAAACCATTAGTCTTTTAATTGCATTTGATAGAGGTACAAACTAATTTTGCTATTTTTACTAAGCCATCAGCGTGAATTTCAGCTATTTAAACCGATATCTAATCTTAGAGTATCCACAATGGTAAGTTCATTGGGAGAGCTGAATGGGGTGACAAACTTATGTGTCATTCAATTGATAAAACTCTAGCATTGTGAGATGCCACATTGACATTCAATGGGTTTGGAGTTCAATGGCCATTAAACTCTTCAATGGGAAAAAAGAAATTTTTTAATTCTTAAATATTTACTATAAATTTCATTTTGTAAATTCTATTGAACTTTGTAGAGTTCAATGCATTATAAGAAAAAAATGATAGAGTTGTATGGATTGTAGAAAGATGATGTGGCAATCCATTAAACTCTATGGAGTTCAATGCATTGTGGATGCCCTTATGTGGAATCTAATATGACATCCAATATAGACACAAAATATACAAAATTTTCCATATTAATTTAATGTCATACTAGATGTCAAATAGAATTAGATAGCAATGTACCGGATTGAAATCCAATCTAATGGCTTAGTATAAATACCAAAACTAATTTTGTTTATCTATTGAATACATTTAATTTATTAATGACTTAAAAGAAATTGATAGTTAGATCATTTTGTGACATTAACCCAATGAGACATTATGATAATTAGATAGTTAAAGCTAAGGATAGTTTGGTCAATTTACATCGATTTACTTGATCTTTCAAATTGATTATTTTAAATAAGCTATTTAACTAAGGCTGCTTGTTTGGATGTGCGCTTATGTCCCTCAGCTTCAACCAAATTGTTTAGTCTCATATCTTGTCTGTAATAGTTGTGTTAATTAAGCGCACACTGTGTTTCCATTCTAAAAATAATACCGAAGTATAACTACCTAGTTCTTCTTAACTTGAAAAAATTAGTTTTCTCATTATACGATTTTAATTTTTCAAGCCATAATATCATAAAGAAAACGTACATCCAAACACCTCCTTAGACACACATCAAAACATCCATGTACTATATAATAATTTCTTCATTGTAATATCCATTTGTTTGTTTTTTTCATGGCAACTAATATTGCTCTAAGGCTTTTAGACTCTAAAAGATTGAATGGCAAACAAATTAGGATCATGTTCTCTGATCCTGATCCTACCATGAGAAGAAGTGGCATAGGTAATGTATACATCAAAAACTTGGATTCATCCATCGACAACAAGGAGTTATATGAAGTATTTTGTGTGTGTGGTGATGTGAGTACATGTAAGGTCGTTGTGGATAGCCATGGTCGATCAAAAGGTTTTGGTTATGTACAATTTCAAAAAGAAGAAGATGCCAAAGCTGCGATAAGAAAACTAAATGGAATGTCGATAAAAGGCAAACAAGTCTATGTTGCCAAATTTATTCACCAAGAAAAATGAAATGAAGCAAACAAATCACTAAAGTGTATGTAAAGAATTTTCCAGAGACAACAACTGAGGAAGATCTTGTACAAGCTTTTGGGAAGTTTGGTTCCATTACAAGTGTTGTTATCAGTTGAAGAATGTATTAGGCGTAACTTATCCCTTTGGGATTCATTCTATTATTTATATATGTGAACAAGAATACAGAGATAAAGATAACAATAGATCCTAATATCTTGGATCTTATCTACAAAACGGATCTGTTAAACAAGTTATCCTAATCTATTTCAGGTGCCCTGTTTACATTCCCCCTCAATCTTAACCGTGACGAGGTTCAGATTGTATCTTAGACGATTTAACATGTTTCGAGTCGAGGGCTTCGTGAATCCATCTGCCACCTGATCACCTGAAGCTATAAAACGAACATCAAGAGCACCCATTGCAACCTTCTCTCTGACAAAATGAAAATCCACCTCTATGTGTTTCGTGCGTGCATGGAACACGGGATTGGTTGTTAGATAAGTAGCTCCTAGATTGTCACACCATAAAACCGGTGGTCGAGACTGTCGAACTCCCAATTCTTTTAGCAAAGATTGCACCCATGTTCCTTCGGCTGTACCATTAGTAAGAGCCTTGTATTCAGCTTCGGTACTTGATCTTGACACAGTAGGTTGTTTTCGAGAGCTCCAAGAAATCAGATTTGGCCCTAGAAATATGGCAAAACCTCCGGTAGACCTGCGATAATCTAGACATCCAGCCCAATCAGCATCTGTAAATACACTTAGGAGCGTAGAATTAGATCGTCGAATCCGAAGACCTGTGGTTATCGTTCCCTTTATATATCTTAAAATTCGCTTGACCGCCTCCCAATGAATATTTGTAGGTTTGGAAAGGTATTGGCACACCTTGTTTACAGGAAATGATATATCTGGTCGTGTCAATGTTAGATATTGAAGACCTCCAACCAAACTACGATATTTAAAAGTGTCATCTTCATTAAGAATTTGACCATGATCTCGAGTCAGTTTTTCCATGACAGACATGGGGGTTGAGACGCTCTTACAATTCTCCATATTAGCACGATGAAGTAAATCTAATGCATACTTATGTTGCATCAAGGTGATTCCCCCTGAATTGTGAACGACTTCAATCCCCAAGAAATAATTTAACCGACCAAGATCTTTAATCGGAAAGGAAGAAGATAAAGCACGAATCATTTTATCAACCGCCATTGGAGAAGAACCCGCAATGACAATGTCATCCACATAGACCAGCATATAAATTGTAATATCTCCATGATGAAATAAGAAAAGGGAAGTGTCAGCTTTGGAAGAATGAAAACCAAGTTGATGCAATTTATCGCTTAACCGAGAGAACCAAGCACGAGGAGATTGTTTTAGACCATAAATTGCCCTCTGTAATTTGCACACATAGTGAGGTCATTGAGAATCTTCAAAACCTGGGGGTTGCTGCATATACACTTCTTCCTTTAAGAAGCCATGGAGAAAAGCATTACTAACATCAATCTGTCGAAGATGCCAACCTTTAGAAACTGCCAATGAGAGAATTAAACGAATAGTGGCAGGTTTCACAACAGGACTAAAGGTGTCCTGATAATCAATACCATATTGTTGAGTAAAATCGCGAGCCACCAGTCGTGCCTTATGTTTATCAATAGTATCATCTGGATGTTGTTTGAGCTTGAAAATCCATTTACAACCCACCACGTTAATACCAGGTGGCCGAGGGACAAGAATCCATGTGTGGTTTTCCTTAAGTGCAGCGAATTCAACCTCCATTGCTTTCCTCCATGACGGATCAGAGAGAGCAAGCCGATGCGAAGTAGGAACCGTGAAAAAGGCTCGTCGATTTGGATAATAGGGAACAGTTCCGTCAGTAAACTTGCGAGGGAAAGATTTTCCTGCACGACCACGAGTAGTGATGGTGGACGGAGGCGTAGAAGGTACGCTTGGGGAGGCTTCATTGATAGAAGAGGATGGAACATTACTTCCAACAGCGGTAGTCGTGGTTTCGGTGGTGGTGACAGGTATGGATCCAACTTCGCTAGTGACTGTGGTTGCGACATCAGCATGAGTGGTGGGACTATCGTGATGATCCGATGCAAAAGTCACATGTGTTGGTTGTTGTGGAGCATTGGAAACACCATTGGTAGAAGTGAAGAACATAGGAACAGGTGCTAATGGTGCTGTAGCTGCATGAGAACTGTTAGATAATAACATAGATAAGTCATAATTTCTCAAATGATCATTTACAATTGCCGGTTCAGATTGGGGAAACGACACAACTGTGGAAGTAAGAGATGGTGTGGTGGAGGTGGATGAAGTTGCAAATGGGAATCGAGATTCATCAAAAATTACATCTTGTGATATATAGATACGTCCAGTACTTCTATCTAAGCATTTGTACCCTTTATGTATTGAGCTGTAACCAAGAAAAACGCACAATTTCGACCGAAATTCAAGTTTATGAGAGTTATACTAGCGAAGACTTGGCCAACAAGCACAACCAAAAATTCGCAAAAAAGAGTAATCGGGTTGTATTTTGAGAAGACGTGTGATGGGTGTTGAGTTATTTATAGTACGACTGGGCATACGATTTATGAGATAACAAGCAGTTAAGAAAGCTTCATCCCAAAATCTAAGGGGAAGAAAGGAGTGAGCAAGTAAAGCTAAACCAGTTTCAATAATATGGCGATGTTTTCGTTCAGCCATTCCATTTTGTTGTGATGTATGAGGACAGGACACACGATGGGAGATTCCTATACGTTGGAAATAGTGGTGGAGTTTGTGGTATTCGCCTCCCCAGTCGGATCGAACAATGCGAATTTTTGCATTTAGAAGACATTCAACATGGTTTTGAAAGTTATAAAAAATTTGTTCAACATCAGATTTATTTTTGATGAGATAGATCCATGTATAACGACTATAATCATCCACAAAACTAACATAATATCTAAAACCACCACTAGATACTTGAGCTGGCCCCCAAACATCCGTGTGAACAAGTTCAAGTGGAGAAGAAGCAACATGAATAGAATTATGATAAGGAAGTTGATGACTCTTAGCACACTGACACGCATCACAAACAAAAGGTTTATTATCAAAGAACAACCTAACTTATTTGTTCTTTAAAATAGACTTAACAACTGATGAACTGGGATGGCCAAGACGTTGATGCCATTGAGGTGGCGACACTTTAACACTAGACGCAACAAGCCGAGAAGTACTGGAGGGAGGACGACTGAGCGGCACCGGATAAAGTCCTCCTTTGCTTTTACTGAATAGTAGAGTTTTCTTCGTGGTTTTGTCCTTAACAAAGAAAGCATCAATGTGAATTTCAATGAATACATTATTATCAGAAACAAACTTATGAGCGGAAAGAAGATGCTTGTTAATTTTAGGGACATGTAAAATGTTTTTAAGAGCAAGAGATTTGCCTAAACCGGAAATTTTTGAATGACCAATGTGAGAAATATGCAAACCTGTTCCATTGGCCACTTGGACTTGATCTTTGCCATGATATCGCTCTTGGACGGAGAGCCGATCAAGATCGCTAGTGAGGTGATCTGTACCAGTTTGTGTCATTGTTGTAACCTCCTCCTGTAATAGCACTATTACCCCCACGGTATTCATCAGCCTGATATGCATGATTAAATCTGTTTCGGCAATTTAAAGTTGTGTGACCGGGAATGCTACACACTTGACATCGTGGGCCACCATTGTTCCTGCCACGGCCACGACCACGACCGCGGCTGCCACCTCCACCACGATAGTTGTTTTGGTGGTTATTGTGGAGAGCATTGTTGTTGTTCTGACGGGGATTTTGTGAATCCTGGCGGCTCACACCGTTGGCTGAGGACGTGAATTCTGTCACGTTGTTCATTGCACTAGCTTGTGTTTCATGGGCAATTAGATAAGAGTAAAACTCAGGCAAGGTTACCTCATGTTGGTTGCTTAAAACGGTGATAGCAGTGAATAAATCACCGTGACCTGGCCCTAAACCTGCTAAAATATAGTCGATTACCTCTTCATCGGTCATTGGATGACCAATATTAGCCATAGTATCTGCAAAACTAGTCATCTTTTGATAATATTCTGATGCACTCATGTCTCCTTTTTTTGTAGTTGAAAGTTGCGTGCGTATTTGGATGGAATTCCCTCTGTGTTGAGCAGCAAACATTGTATGGAGAGAGGTCCATAATTGCTTGGATGTATATGTGCATCGGGTAAGCTGGGCAAGGACATCTTCTGTCATAGAGGACAGAAGACCACCGAGGATGGCCTGATCTTGAACAGCCCACACATCATACTCAGGGTTAGGGTTTTCCCTAGCATCTGCGCCTGTTCCAGTGATCAGCTTGACAGGTGGTGACGGCTTTGTGCCATCAAGATAACCAAAGAGCTGTACACCTTTTAGGATAGGAACAACTTGCGCCTTCCAAAGCAGAAAATTGGTTCTGGTTAGCTTACAGGAGATGACGGTAGCGATCTTAGAAGAGTTGATGATGGGAGACATAGTGATGGCGTATCTGGAAGAAGACCAGAAAACCGGAGAAGGTGATAAAATTGGAACCCTAGGATGGGCTCTGATACCAAGTTGAAGAATGTATTAGGCGTAACTGATCCCTTTGGGATTCATTATATTATTTATATATGTGAACAAGAATACAGAGATAAAGATAACAATAGATCCTAATATCTTGGATCTTATCTACAAAACAGATCTGTTAAACAAGTTATCCTAATCTATTTTTACATTATCATGTGAGACATGTATGGGAAGTCTAAATGTTTTGGATTTGTGAACTTTCAAGATCCAAACGTTGCAACTGATGCTATTGAGGGGTTGAATAACGCTGGAATCGGTTGGTATGTTAGGAGGGCTCAAAAGAAAAATGAACGAGAAATATTGGAATTAAAAGAGAATTCTGATCAGGATCGAAAAATACAACCTGAACAAATGAAAGAGGCTAATTTGTATATAAAAAATCTTGATGAAACCATTACAGATGATGAAAAGTTAAAGGCTTTATTCTCGCCCTTTGGAACTATAACATCTTGCAAGGTACATTTTTTCAAAGCCGGGCTAGAAATAAATTTATTTAATTTATGATTTTATACTAAAGTTTGATCACTTTTGGTCTAAAATAATTTCTAGATCATGTTTGATTCGCAAGGAGTGAGCAAGGGTTTTGGATTTGTCGCTTTTTCTACCCGAGAGGAAGCTAAGAAGGCTGTATGTGATTACTCTTTTTTATTACTTGCTGTAATTTTTTGTTGATTATTATATCTAATTAACATGTTGAATCAGATGGTTGAGATGAACAGGAAGATGGTAGGAAGAAAACCACTATATGTTTCGGTAGCGGAACGCAAAGAAGAAAGAATGACTCGATTACAGGTTATCTAACTTACTATCTTGTGACAGAAACTCATTGTATCATTGGTGACACTCAAAATAGTTCATTAGTAGTTTTTTTATAAGTATTAGGAGCTTAATATAAATTTATAGGCATCTCATGAGAGTCTAATGGTTGAGGTGTAGAAAACTCCACAAGAGGTTGTTCTGCTATTGACCTTTTTGTGGGCCTGAAATGATATGGTGTTGTTTACCATATCTCTCTCTCTCTCTCTCTCTTTTAATCATAAACTAGTTGTAAAACCTATGTATTAAATTGATTAATTTAAAAAAAATAGATATAAAGGTAAAAATATTTGAGAACTTTGTATTCAAAAGAAAATAAGAAAAATAGTGAATTATTATAATACAAATATTTTTTAACTTTTAAATTTAAACAAATAATTAAAATAGATAAAAGAAATTAAAGATTTGAGAATTTTGAAATTAAAAGGTAAATTCATTAATAAAATTGATATCCATTTATTACTACATTCATTGCAATTATTACATTAAAATATTATATGAAAATTAATAAAATAGAAAAACTCATAAAATGACATGTGGAAAAAGAATTAATTCAAAATACCTACGAAATGACATTTGGCAAATTGAATGAGAGTGTGACAAGTGGCAAAAAAAACCTTCATTTATTAGAGAGGATTTATGGGTTAATGTTCTTTTTCAGGCGCAATTTGCTCAACCCCGAGCATCTGGTTCAGTGACTCATTTGACTACAGATAAAACTGGGGTCCACTGGGGTGCACCAGAATTGCAAAGTCGTGGTTATGGCTTGACACATGAACCAATAATGGTTGGATATGGCCCGGTAAGAACCGGAAACCCTCATGCTATGCTTGGGCAGGTGCGTTGTTTTAACAATTATTTGTAATATTATAAATTATATCTTTAGTAAGAGAGTTATGCAAATGGCTAATGGGAAAAAATGACAACCAAATTTCTTCAAATTGTTGATGAGAACTATTGTTTGGGATGAAATGTTACACTTGTGAAATCTAGATTAATTAACTTCATTTGTTTACTAACATTAATGCTAATTTTGTTTTGAATATAGGTGATGTCTGATGGTACTCCTAACCAAGACTTGGTAAATGTGTTCAGTGGGAGAAATCTCATGGACAATCAAATGGATCAAGTTCTCATGGGCAATAACATGGTTCAGTTGCCTTTCAATGTCTCAACAGAAGTAACATCGTCCTCTGATGTTCATCTTTCTGGACCAATTGATACTAGAAAACTTGCTTCTGTTTTGGCTTCTGCTAGTCCAGAAAACCAACATCGGGTATTATTCCTTGTCACATGATTAGTTTTTCAAGTAATATAGATTCATTTATGAAATATTTAAGGGTCTCGGATTTCTCAAAATTGCAGATCCTTAGGACATACTTGTACCCTTTGGTGGAGCAAATTGAGCACAAGAATGCTACAAGTGTAACGGATATGTTGCTTGAGATGGACAATTCTGAAGTGCTTCATTTGATCGAATCTCCAAATGAGTTAAAGAAGAATGTTGGTGAGGCCATGAGTCTGCTCATTTCTGCACTTTCATGTGTTGCAAACGACGATGATCACTTTGGCTCGTTATACTTGAATTGAACAGTTTTCTCTAGTTCTAGCTAGCTTATGTTTTTATGATGTTTTATCTTAGAATGTTTAACTTCATATAAGTTGTTTGAAGGCTTTGAATTTATGGGATTATATGTTTGCTAAAACTAAACCTGGGATTTGATCGTTTTAATTTTTGGATTATGTTTAGAATTCCTGGCATGCATGGAAGTTTCTGCAATAAGTCAACACTTGTTAAAAGGTTGTTGGATGCAAGAAGTTATTATGAGTTATTTCAGTTAATGAAAGGGTTCTTAAAATTAAGTTGTCATAATAGTTATTCATGGCCGCTCAACCTTATATTTTGCTAAGCTGGAGCTTAGGGCCCTTAATTCTAAAGACCCCATATTCTCTAAACTTAACCCTAATATTAATATATCTCAAATCTCAATTGTCGGACAGGCCACGTCACAATGAACGATCTTGATTCTTGAAGACGAAACACATGCGGCACATCAGTACGATCTTGAAAATTGAAACACCGCATTTATCTTCTATTTTCTATTTCGATTCTCAATTGTTCAAATTCTCAACGTCATAGTCTGGATAAAGAAGAAGGTTTATAACATTAAGTATAGTAAATGCCAAATGACCCCATATTTTTTGTTCACTTAGAGCCTCCAAACTAGTTGAACCGTCATTATTAGTTATAGGTGTTTTTTTGTTTTTTATTTTCTAAAATTTCTTCCTAACCTCTTTTGTCTATAGACGAGTCATCCTTTTCTCTGTGGAATTTTGTTTTTTAAGAAGATTGTGAACCTAAAACGTATGTTCGTCCTTTTTCCAGTAAGACATGACACATCTTCTTCCAAAACTCACACCGTCAACATGTCCTATTTGAATGACCTTTGAATAATTGAATATTACATAATTTGACGTTTACATAATTTGAAGTTTCATTTAGATTATTCAATACAATAATTATTATCTTTTATCCTTTAAAGAAATAATAATTTAATAAATAATAACAATATTGTAATTAACCTCGCTAATACTAATAGTTTTAGATTAATAATAATAATAATAATAATAATAATAATCCCTATATTATAATAAAATAATAACTTTAACCTCTATTTGCCAAGTGTCACTCTAATACAACGTTCATATTAATATTATGTCATTTGTCATTTAGATATATTAGTCAACTCACTTTAAAATTCAAATTTACATTTTCTAATTATATGTTAAATTTGAAGTTATAATAACTTTAAAAATTTGATATATCTCTTAATTAATAATCAATAATTTATTAAAGTAACTGATTAATAATTATAAATTTAATTATAAAAGTTTAATTAATTTTGTAACCGTGGTTCCCACGGGTTATAAACTAGTAATAATAATAATTCAATTGTTACAAATAATATAGTATTTTGTTGTTATTGAAATTACTAGCATAAATACATAAAGATAATAATAACCATGGTTCTAAAAAACTCGCGAGGCGTGGGGTAGCCGTTACGAAAACGTCCAAGGCAGACTTGTTAAGTGTGGCGTTCAAAATAACGTTTCAAGGCGCGTCTTATCGCGATATGGCGCGAGTTTTTTCAAGGCCCGGATTTTTTTTGTTTTTTTTTTGAATTATTTTATCGAGCCTAAAATAATTAAGTTTTTGTTAACTTTTTGTATTAAATACTAATATAACGCTTCTAAAAACTTAATATATTTGATAAACTTCAATAATTATATGATTTATCTCTTTTAATATATATAAAATAATCACGTCTTGAAAAACGACATGGCTCGCCAAGGCTTGTCATGGCTTAACTTTTACCTTACCGTCAAGCCACGCCTCACGTTATTTAGAACCTTGATAATAATTGTATTATTATTAGTAGTACAACATTGATAATAATTGTATTATTATTAGTAGTACAGATAGTATAATTATTATGGGTGTTGTTATTCTCACCATAATGCAGGTCAAAACCATTTTCACCAAGTCAAACCACAGTCAAAGCCATTTTTATTTGTCGTGTGCGTCATCATTATTTCATTAGGACCAAACTCAATAATATAAAATAACTTTACATTTACAGCGCCCGTATTATATATTCTTCTCAATTTTAATCTTTTATATTTTAAATAGTAACCAAACCAATGATATAAAAGAAATTATATATATATATATATATATATATATATATATATATATATATATATATATATATTCAATTTCAATCTTTTATATTTTAAATATGAATAATCCATCGTATGTTAACAAATTTTATATAGACAAAATTACGTAAATGGTCGATTTTATCATAAGGATTATCTCTGCAAGAAATTTAAACCATAGGGACCATCTATATAAAGAATTCGTCATAAGGACCATAATTGGTCGATTTTGTCAACTGTGAGGATCATTTATGTATATGGTCCTTTATTTTATATCTTAATCATTTATATTATATGTATGTAGGGCCGGTCCAAACGTATATGGGGCCCGGGACGAAAAAAAAAAGGGCCCTTTAAAGACAAATATAATAAAGGTATAAAAGGAATTTGACATATGTATTTAAATATGGATAAGTTATGATAATTAATTAGTTTCTATAATTATGTGATGTATTTATTTTCCCTACGTTTTTTTTAAATCGGTTTGGTGTTTTTCTTCAAACCAACCGTTAAACAAAACAATATTAACATACAGTTAGGCAGTTATTGGTTTATTTGGGTTCAAAAGTTGTTACCATAATCCGTCGCAAACGTGCCACGTGCAGGGTTAAGTTATTTTAAGAACTCAAAGATTTGCGAGAACCTTTGAGCTCCTAATCCGCTCAACATTTTTCAAAACGAAGACAACCACCAATCTTCAAATTTCGCGTCTAAACCATATCGAGATTTATGAAAAGATTTGACGAACTTGTTTTTTTTAATATGCATGTCCATATTAATAGACAACATATATACAATGCTAAATTAATAATTTGTGGAGTGGTAACCATTTCTAATGTTTAGTGAGTTGGTGGTGAACGCTTTTATGGTGACACAGATGTGACAACGCTTTTACGATGGGTTGGATGTGACCACTCCTCACAGCCTTAGAATGTTTGGATATACGTTCGGTTTGTTTGTCGTTACTTTTTTAGTGAATAACTATAAATTTAAAGTACAAATGTTAAAGGACATTGTAATTATCAAACTATTTAGAATGCTTGGATATACGTTCAGTTTGTTTATCGTTACATTTTTCGTGAATAACTATAAATTTAAAAGTACAAATGTTAATGGACATTGTAATTAAAACTTTATTAAATAATAAAAAATATTTTATTTTAATATAAATTTAATTAAATAAAAGTTGTTGGAAAATACATAACTATTAAGATTACAAAAAATAAATTTATATATTAATTGTAAGGTTTAATAATAAATATTAAAAAAATAAAGGCTTAAGTTACAAGTCTGATATATCTCAGGGGAGGTATATGTAAATATCTCAGGGGAGGTATATGTAAATAATCCAATAAACTTTGACTATTAGGTTGTTATAGGTTCTTATAGGCGATTAAAATCCTCTAAAGTTATTATTAACACCGTCAATCATAGGATTATACGATTGTTAAAAAATAATGCTAATTAAAATAATAACAATCAACTCAATTTTTGCTCTTTCGAAATAATCTAGTGCTCGTTAGGGCTGTTCATTATTTGGATAAAACCGAATTGTCCAATTAGACTATTTGGTTCAGATATTCGGATTTTTGGATTGATTTTCAACAAAATCGAATTATTATTTTGGATTTCGGATTAGTTTTGGTTTATAAAATAAGAACCGAATAATCCAAAAAAACCGAATAAACATTTATTATTTATTTATTTATAATATATATCTATAGTTATCTATTAATTTTGTAATTTGTTTTTTCAAATAGGTTCAAAACGTTTCACCCGATAAAAAAACATCAATATGTATTATCTCTCAAAAGTTTTTTATCTACAAAATATTTAACTATAATATATCTCCTTGATAGTTGTTTATAAATTTCAAATCACAACTAAATAATTTATTTTCGCTTCTTGTGTAAAATTTGGTAATATTATAATTATATGTCGTTTTAAAATGTTTCGCTTTTTGAAAACCGAATTATAAAAACCGATCCAACCGAATTATAATTGGATCGGATCGGATCGGATTTGAATTTAATTTGAACTATTCGGATCCATTTTTTTAAAACCGAAATCAATTTGGATTCACCTGATTGGATTGGATCAAACCGATGCATCCAAACGAACACCCTTAGTGCTCGTTGATGATTATGAAGGTAAGCTCGAAGTACATGGTAATGCAAAAAAACCGGAAACTTAATGTGCTACTTCAAAATAACCAAAATTTTAGGTTTGCTTTGTGTTGAAATCAAATGAACCGACACCTATTTATTAGGGGTGTGCAAAAAAACCGCAAACCCGAAAAACTGAGCCGAACCGGCCGATTCGAAACCGAAACCGAAAAAAATGAATATCAACGGGTCGGTTTTGATTTGGATACTTAGGTATCCACGGATAACCGAACCGAACCGCTTGCTATATATATATATATATATATATATATATATATATATATATATATATATATATATATATATATATATATATATATATTCTTAATAAAAGAGTCTCTAAACAGACACGTGTCCTCTTTTGAGTCCTATGTCTTGCCACATGTCATTCCACAAACTATTTACTCCCTACTTTTCCCGCCCACAGACTCAGTGCATCATTAGTTCCTAAATATCAGCATTTCGGTTTTGATTATTTGAAGGATATATCTCATATTCGAAGTTTCAGTTTTGATTGTAGCATATTGCACGACTTTCCATATACTAATCAAGTTCCCATAACACCAATCCACATCCAAATTTCAAACACTTGATTAATCATCAATCGACTAATCAGGAAGCAAATCATCTCCGGTTGTTTTGGTTTTAAAAATCGCAGGTCTTCAATGTATTTATTATTTTCCATGGTGGATTAAAGAATTCATG